GCCCAACAATTCCTCTCTCGCAACGGATTCGGTTTCTATCCTCAACATACCGCCCGCCTCGAAATACGTTTCGAAATCCGCGATGTGCTCGTGGCGGTCGATAGGTCGATACGGGAAGATAGAATATATCTTATAACTAGATCAACTTAGAGTAGTAAGACAAGCTAATTACATGAGGTTTTTTTTTTTTGAAAAAAAAACAAGACGTGGCGATACCGAGCGTACCGCCCGCCGTGACAAGTTCATTTACAATGCTTATGCCGGAGAGGTCAGTCAGCGCGCGCCTCACAGTCGATCGGGAGTAGGCATAATTTTACGATCGGACGTTTATATTCGGAGGTCGGTGTTTTCACGGTCACCACGCGAATCAGCCCGTCAGCGCCCGCATGGCACTGTGTTACACGACCGAGCTCCCACTTACAGGGAGGTAAAGTGGCATTTCGTAACAAGACGAGTTGCCCGATCTTCACTGGCGCTTGTAATCTTCGCCATTTGACGCGTTGCTGCAAGGTGCTAACGTATTCCGTCTGCCACAGCCGCCAAAACCGCTCGGTGATGTGACGGATGATTTGCCAGCGTGACAAGCGATTCTCGTTGACGTTTAATAACGAGGGTTCCGGATTGACTGTGAGCGCGGACCCGATTAAGAAATGACCGGGGGTCAGTACTTCATAATCGTCTAACGTATCACTTAACGGTGCGAGAGGACGCGAATTTAAGCAGGCTTCGATCCGGCATAGCAGAGTCGTAAGCTCTTCGAATGTTAGCGTGTGATTCTTAAGAACTCGGCGAAGATGGTACTTTACGCTGCGTACGCCGGCCTCCCAGAGACCGCCGAAATGCGGTGCGGACGGGGGGAGGAAGTGCCATTGTACATTATCGGAGGCGATGGCATTTAAGAAATTGGGATCGTTTACTGCCGCTCGGTATGCCTTGACTAGTTCCTTGTCGGCTCCGACAAACGTAGTTCCGTTATCGGAATGCATTGACTCCGGCAATCCTCTACGAGAGCAAAATCGAGAGTAGGCGTCTAAAAATGCGGGGGTGGAATAATTTCCAACCAATTCAAGGTGGACCGCGCGCGTGGCGAGGCACACAAAGAGCGCGATATATGCTTTTCGCGAAACAATGCCGCGTCCCCCGGAGGCTCGAACCAGCACCGGCCCCGCGTAGTCGACCCCACAATGGAGAAAACTACGGGAAGGCGCCGACACGCGCAAGGATGGGAGATCTCCCATGAGCTGCTGCGGCACGGCGGCCTTTTCGCGCGTGCAGTTCACACATTTATGGAGAACAGATCGAACGGAACTGCGAGCATTTAAGATCCAGAACTCGCGGCGCAACGTTGCAAGCGTTAATTGCGGGCCCGCATGAAGGGCGCGCAGATGAGCCTGCCTAATGATTAGCGTGACTAACGGGTGAGAAGCGAGTACGATCGGATGCTTCGCGTGATACGAGAGTGGAGCGTTTCTCAGGCGTCCTCCGACTCTTATCAATCCTTCGCTATCTACGAAGGGATTGAGTGCGAGAATGTGACTCTTGGAATGGACGGGTTTGTTCTGAGTGAGCTCGTGCAATTCGTGAGGGAATAATTCGGCTTGGATAGCCCCGAGCCAGAATGTGCGAGCGCGGTGGCATTCGGAGGCCGATAAGGCGCGTCCGTGATGCTCAAGAGCGGGGAATTTTTTAGAGTGCCCGCGACAGGAGACGAATCGAATGATATACGCGGTGACTCGAATAAGTTTGGCCCAATCCGAATATTGTGAGGCAAGATCCCACGGCGTAGGGACTCTCGCCGCGTGCGTGGTGACAATCTTTTCTTCAATGGAAGTTTCCGTCAGGGGGGAGGGAAGACCCTCGGGCCATCGCGTCGCGGGGAACTTGAGCCATGGTGGTCCCTGCCACCATAGTGGGTGAGTTGCGAGTTCGTGCCCTAGTATTCCGCGCGATGCACAATCTGCTGGGTTTTCGGCGGTCGACACGTGACGCCAAGTCACATCGGGGAGACGGGACTGAATCTCCGCGACGCGGTTCGCGACGAAAGTCTTCCATCTCGACGGGTGTTGACGTAACCACGCAAGCACGACTTCTGCGTCGATCCAGCAATAACACGCGGAGGAATCGATCCTGATCGATTCACGAACTAAAGTCATTACGCGCGCAAGTAGCAACGCAGCGAGAAGCTCCAACCGGGGAACGCTTAACGTTTTCACCGGAGCGACTTTCGATTTTCCCATAAGCAGAGATATGGTTGTACGGCCAGATTTGGAAATTACACGCAGGTAGACAGCGGCGGCGTACGCGACGTTAGACGCATCGGCGAAGCCGTGCAGTTCGCAACGATCAGAGTCCGACTCTTGACCGGTCCACCGCGGCAAGTGGAGCTCGTTGAGCGCGGATAATTGATTGTAAATCGGTTTCCACTCGCGCAATATGTCATGAGGGAGCGTGTCGTCCCACTCGAACTTAAGACGCCACAACCGTTGCATCAAAATTTTTGCGGTAATCGTGACGGGAGTCACCCACCCGAGCGGGTCAAACAGTTTCGCGATCGCGGAGAGAATCGATCGCTTTGTTTGCGGAGCAGGGGCGTCGGTAGCCGTCTGAAATTGAAAGATATCGAGCGCAGGGTTCCAACTGACCCCGAGGATTTTCAAACTTTCATCTGTTTTCAAAATTTTGTTGCACGCGAGTCCGTGATTCGCGGGATCAATGTCCGACAAAAGCTCCGAATTATTACTGGCCCATTTCCTTAACTCAAAGCCACCTTTCCGTAGGAGGGCGATGAGTTGATCGCGGGCGATACGGAGGTCCTCGAGGCGATGCGCGCCGAAGAGAGTTTCGTCGATATATTTCCCTTTCTGGAGTATGAGAACAGCTAAGGGAAATGCCTGTCCTTCGTCGTTTACCAACTGATCGAGTACGCGAAGCGCTAAGTACGGAGCGGCCGCGGTGCCATATGTGACGGTGAGAAGGATGTATTCGCGAAGCGGATCAGTAGGACGTTCGCGCCAAAGAATGCGTTGATACGTTACATCACGCGGGTCGACACGAATTTGCCTATACATTTTAGTCATGTCGGCCGTGTACACGTACTTGAATAGTCGCCATCGCAGGATGATAACCGATAGATCAGGTTGAAGTTTGGGTCCGACCAGGAGATGGTCGTTTAACGAGGACCCGTTTGACGTTGCGCAAGACGCGTTGAAGACGACGCGCAGATGACTCGTGGCACTACTTTCGCGCATGACCGCGTGATGCGGAATGTAAACGCGTTGCTCGTCCGCGTCATCTGAAGCGGGCACCTCGATCATATGCCCGAGGGTTTCGTAATCGCGTAAAAATTCGGAATACTCCCGTTTCTGCTCCGGATGAGCATCTAATCTTCGAGCTAAGCCTTTGAGATGGTGCTCGGCGACACCTCGAGAACGCCCTATTTCGATAGGGGGACCGGCCCTAAACGGAAGACGGACCATGTATCTGCCATCGGGACAACGTGAGTGGGTGCGGCGAAAATGCTCCTCACATTGCTCGTCTTCCGGGTTAAGATGTGTCTTATGCGGAAGTTCCTCGACCTCCCAGAATTTTCTAAGCTCTTGATCGAGGGACAGATTAAGGCAGTGATGTGCGCTCACCCGGAGGGGCGGTTGTTCCGATGATGCGACCGACGTAATATGCGACTCCACCTTTGAAGGTGGGATGGGCCCTGAGATCACCCATCCTAGCACTGAGTTTTGAGCGATCGGCTGTCCGACCGCTCCCTTGCGAAGTCCGTCAACTATAAGGACGCCGTAAAGATCTGCACCGACTATTATATTGATGGGATCTGCGCTCATGGGGTCGTGGTCAGCCCATGGGAGATCTGCTAGGTGAGCTAAAGTATGCTCCGTTGTCATACGCTTTGGCGCGTATGACATTAACGATTTCAAAATTAACGCGTGAGTAGAGAATGCCGGAGTCTGTTTGTTTCTCGGCGAAATATTTATTTGAGCCGCGTGTTGATATGTTCCGGCGTGTACACCGCCGACAGCCG